GAAACCCAAATTGGAAACCATAGACACTGTATCATGGATACAGTTTATGGAAGAAGGGGGGAAAAAAAAAGTAGAACTCCAATGAAAATCTATGCTCAAATATCAAGAGCAGTGAATAAATATAACAAATTTGTTATAATGTTTATCCATAAAGACCGTTATTTTTAATGATCTCTACTTTTCTGATTAACCAATATACCACTGGTCCCAATCATTTTGTGTAAGAGGGCTTGTACTGTATTTTCTCTGCAACAAATTCACACGCTTTTAAGTTAGTGAAGCAAAGTCCTGAGAAAAATCAAACCTGCTTTACTGCTAAGCTACAACTTTCAAAAGTCAAATTTGAAGTTATTTTATGATCCTTACCCATCTTGTGTGGGTGGGTACTCGCACTCTTGTCCTTTGGGAAATACACCATTAGGATACAGGTCACATATTGGAACTGAGGGAGGGTCTGTCTGAACTTTTGCTGTGAGATACAAATAAAGTTATTAATTTCTGAAGTTAAAAAATTAAGCAGTTTACATTAAGTTTTCTCAGTTCCTAATGGTTGTTATTATGTCCTGGTCTGAAGAAACTCATTCACCATCTCCCTACAGTTAAAAACAGAAAATACCTTATGCTGGTCACCATCTTTTTAAGAACTGCTGCTTGGAAACAGAAATATTCCTCAGAACTCCATTATATATTCAAACAGTATATGCCTTGACAGAAAGCACACTTCTAATGTAATTTCTTCTCCATTCACTACATTGGGGGTGGAATAGCATGCAGACTAGCTTTCACAAATAAAAGCTGAAGAATCAACAAGAAAATAAGAAAGGAGTCCTATGGAATAAAGAAAAACTATAAGACGATTAGGTATTAATAAAACAAGAAAAAAACTATTTCAAGGGCATATTAAATATGAAAGTTAAGGGCATACATAACAATACTAAAAGAGCTTTGGTAGCCACGTGCAAATTTCCAAATACCTGAAAAGAGTTACAGTGCTTGGTAAACATTTTAGGACATTATTCCCAAATAATTCTAAAAGACACCAGCTGCTCCCCAAGGTACTTAAAAAAAAATTTTTTTTTAATCTAGAGATAAAAATATTAAAAAATACGTAAGAATGAGTTATACAGTTCCTATTATATGAATACCTGCCTTTTAGGAATGAATGCTGTATCCAAGGAATGTCAGGAAGTTGTGTGAGAGAGAATTTTTATGCAGCAATGTGTGATTTTCAATGTGTACTTGTATGATTTACCAACTACTGAGTACATGGTTTCCTTTTGATTACAACTGGTTTATGTTACAGATTTTTGTTTTAAATTTTAACAAATATTTTGCTCTTTTTATTCTGCAATGGGGAAAATAAGAGCCATATAAGTAAACATATGACCATTTACTGAGGGATATTATTTATGGAACCAATTTTTTTATTTTAATTTTTGCTCCCTGTTTTAACCCAAACACTCAATACCTCATGACAGAAATTATGTGAAAATTTCTCTCTTCACATAATTTTTTAAGTGTTCTATAAGAAAGTAAACTTGGGAAACACTGTTTTAGGTTCCTCCTATTACATCTTCCTAAGAGGGAGCACTGTTGCTGTTGGGTGCCGTCGAGTCGCTTCCAACTCATAGCAACCCTATGTACAACAGAATGAAATACTGCCCGGTCCTGTGCCATCTTAACAATCATTATGCTTGAGCCCATTGTTGCAGCCACTGTGTCAATCCATCTCATTGAGGGTCATTAGAATTATAAAATCAAAAAAGATCTTAGAAGTCATCTAATTCAACCTCAAACTCAATGCAGAAATCCTCTAATACCCCTGACATTCTGACTCCTGACAATTGAGGCACTTTCTCCCAAGCTAATTCATTCATTTGGGAAAGCTGCAACTATTAAAGCTCTTCCTACACTCATCTGTCTCCCCGTTACTTTCAATTATTAGTCCTAGCTCTATTCTTTGAAGTTAAAAAATAAAAATAAAAATCTACTTTCCACTTCTACTGACTGCTTCGTCATCCCTCTAAAGTTTTCTTTTTCTAAGTTAAACAATTCTAGTACATTTAACCACTTCAAGGAATATGGTTTTTCTCACTTCCAATCATACTGACCAACCTTGAGTTTGTCAATATTCCTTTTAAGGTGGTACTTATATTAATAATCCAGATAATATACACTTCATATAAGATTATACTGCTTGTTCTAAAAATCCTACTGCTACTGAGGTAACTTAAGACTCTTCGCTTTTTGGTTCACATTGTGCTAGTATTCAAAATCAGAGTTGTTATACTAATTTTTTATCTGTCTCTGTTAAATTTGTTTGTCAGTATCAGCCCAGTTACCCTGATCTTCTGAAATCTTGGTTTTTGTCAACCAAAGTTTTATGTAGTAACCTGGAGCTTTATCTCATCTCCAAATCTGGTAAGATGTCTTTTATATTCTCCACAAATCATTAAGACATGATAGTTCAAGTGCTCAAAAAGATCATTAGAGAATAAAAAAATTTGTAATCAAAAGGTCAGAGTTCAAGTCTGGCTTTTATGGCTTAACAACTGTGACTTGGACAAAAGGCTAAATGGTGTCAAACCTCCATTTCTTCACCTATAAAATGAAGAATCAGATGAAATCTTGGATGACCTTTGAAGATTATGTACCACATCCAAGTTATTATCTAAAACTATATATAATCTATAATAATCTGAGCTTCAATTATCATTACTACTTACAATTCTCTCACTTTATAAAGAAAATGAGGCAAAGTAGCTAAGCTAACTGCCCATGACTGTGTTATTTAGGATAATCCAGAAGTGACTTAAGATCGCCTACAAGAATATCTAAAATACACAAGTAAGAGACATTCAAAGTAAATCAGAAAGCAAAAATCAAATCAAGAAAAAGAATGGAAAAAAGAAGCTGAAATTAGGCCAATACAAAACCACAGATTTGGCTCTAAGTCCTCTAGTAGCCAACATAAAAAGCGAAGCCAGGTTACTTGCGGAGTTGACGGTGTTTCTGATTTAAAAACAGACTGACTACTTGGAGAAGCACATTATTCTTGTTGCTAGTACCAGACCCCCCGCCCTGACCAAAAAAAAAAAAAAAAGTCTCTTGAGAGTGTTCATAAAGAAATAGAATGAACAATAAATTCAACAACATCCTCAAAAGAGGTACAATAAAGACTGATGGAATCATATTAAAGCTTCTGTCAGTAAAAGAATTCTATCAAGAACAAACACAGCCCCATAACATGCCTCCCTCCTGGTCTGCCTTTGTTGAGGGACAAATGTTAGAGTAACCTGGAGAAACAGTTACTTCTCACAGGCACGCATTTAACAATTTTGGATGGAAGGAATAGGACATCATAATCCCTGGCAGATTCCTGGAATGCAGGTAACCTGTGCTCACTAAATACAGACTCACGTGCCTTCACAGGTTAAAGACAAGACTGACTTAAGAGAGCAGCAAGGATGAATAGGAAGACACATACCATGGGAATAATGACTACCAGAGCCAAGAGCTTCCTTAAAAAACAATTTAAGTTTTTCTGTTAACACAGAGATAAAAATGGAAGTCAAGCCCCCAAAATTACGATTCATAGAATTTTAGCCTGAAAGATTTTAAAGGAAGGTATAATCAGACACTCAATGGCCCCCAACAGGCCAAAGGCATTTAAGATTAGAACTTAAGTGTTCTGAATCTCATCCCAACCTTTATTCACCAATACTATACAGTCTGCCTAACATGTTTTCAGAACCCTGAAGATGTCTGGTTATGCCATTTACAGAAACAAAACACAAGTGGGATCATATTTTATGAAAATCTGAAATACTGCAATATAAAAATTATTAATAAAAATCTCACTATGCACAAATTTTAAATAATGGGACTTCTCATTTAATATTCATCAAGAATCTCATAATTTCAAAGCTGGCCAGTGAACCTCAAACTGTGTTTGCCCTACTACCACATGGTGGCACAATTTTAATCCTTCTTGGGAGAGAATTTTTCTTTGAATTGTGCAAGTTTTAAATTATAAAATTTTTAGGAACTCATATCTAATTTGCAGTAAAATGCAACCAACTCATATTAAATCCCTTAGCTGAATAACAGCTAAAGAAAATACCAACAAGATTGTTAAACTCAAGTATTTGCTAAATAGTTATTAATTGTATCAAAATTCTACCTCTATTAAGTCTAGGTTTATATCCTCCACATATATATACATCTTAAGCAATTTCAAACCTATTCTTCAAACCTGCCAGTTAACAACCACTTCTAACTTATTAAGTAAGAGCAACTTAAGACACTAACGTCCTTTCTTCTTCTTCTTCTTTTTCTTCTTCTTTCCAGTTGCTCCATCTCCATCACCATCTCCATCTAAGAAGACAATTTCAGGTACATATTAATTTAAGCTTCATAAGCAGAGGGACAAAGCAAGCACAAATGTACAAGCATGCACACACACAAAGCATTTTAAATAGTATAAGATAAAACTGACTCAATATCCTTAGAAAATAATTTTGTATATTGCTATCTTTAATTATCAGGATTTGATGTGTGTAATTAAAAGTGGTAGCAAACTTTACTTTGACTTACTAAAAAAATTGTTGGATAAGATAGTCTTAAGAATAAAAAAAAGTATTAAATAATTTCCTTTTTTAAAAAGCAAGGAATAATAACTAGTGTTAGTTTAATATCAATAGTAATGGCTCTGTGACTTCATCTACAATAATAACAGTTACAGCTTACATTTGCTTGGCAGTTAAACACTTGTATTTCATGATCTCATTTGATCTCAAAGCAACTCTGAGTAAATGACGAATGTTTAAGGAACCTGCCCAAGATATTCAAACTGGTAAATGGCAGAACTGGACCAAGAATATATGTCACCTGATTCCTAACCCAGTCTTCCTGATTTTATATGGAGGGATATTTCGGGTCTCATATTTTTAAATGTCTTTTCCAGAAAAGTTGTTATCAGAGAAAAAGCTCTCCTTCTAGTCAAATTATATCCAAAAATCAGTATGGGCATATTTTTGGTCAAATCACATACAGGAGGGATGAGCGTCATGGAGCAGAATGCAATATTCACATGAATTTTAAAGATTAACAAGAACCATAAAAAAAAAAAATGCTGTCACCACTATATTTTTCTATCATAATTATCACATAAAACTGCAATACTTGACTCCTACTGGTCTGTGAGTTCTTAAGAATTAGACACCATTTTAAAAATTAAACATGTGACAAGTGTTCAGTTATCTGTTCAATAAATGAACAAATGCTCTTTTATTTTATCTTATTTATATTTATTCTTTCACCTAAATGGGAAATAGGAAGCAGCAGTTTAGCAAAGAGTGATAATGTGATCTAGGGCTTACACAGGTTGAATATGAAACTGCCAATAATTAGCAATTTTTTACTTACTAAATTGCAATCTTATGTTCAGTTTTATAGAATAAGAATCTACTAGCTAAAAGAGTAGAACAGAAACACAAATACGGCTCACTTACTGTTATAGACTCAAAAGCCTAGCAAGAAAAATATGGAAAAAAAATTGAAAACACATCTTTCAATATCCCTCACGTCATATAATCTAATCCACATATCCTGTACTACAACTTTAAAAGTAACCTTTATTTATTCATTCATTCATCCATTCAATAAATGTTTACTAAGTGCCAGGCAACAGAGATACAACAGTAAACAAGACAGTCTTTGCTCTTGAAGAAAATTCAGTATCTATACTACACTAGTGCTACATACAATAGATTCAATACCTGAAACAAATGCTTTAGTATATACAGCCCATTTTAAACACATCCTACCAAATTCTTCCAGCTGTGCGACCTAGACAAGTTATTTAGCCTATCATGGTTTTCTCATCTTTAAAATGGGATCTAATAGTCCTTCTTTGATACTCCATCATCCTTCTGATGCTAATTATTTTATCCAAGTCTAAGGTCTGTGTTCAGTATAGAGTAACAGCCACAATTTATTGAACTCTTTGTGACAAGATGGTACTGACTGCCCTCGTAACATCTAGAGGGTATTCATCTGCCTCTTTTCACAGGAGACTAAGCTGAAGGAAACCAAAAGGTTAAATAACTTACAAAGGTAGTAAGTGGTAGAGCCAGGATCTGAACGTTAAACTATACATGCTTATAGTTCCACCCACTGTAGCGTATTGCAATTTATGTTTTTATATGTTTATCTTCCAGAGGGGAGCCCTCGTGGCACAGTGGTTAAGAGCTCAGCTGCTAACCAAAAGGTTGGCAGTTCAAATCAACCGGCTGCTCGTTGGAAACCCTATGCGGCAGTTCTACTCTGTCCTATAGGGTCGCTATGGGTCAGAATCCACTTGACGGCAACGAATTTGGTTTGCTTTTTATCTTCCACAGCATCCTAAGAGACCCTTAACAGGTAGAGATTGTTCATATTTATGTCTGTATACTTCAAATATTTAGCATTTTACCCAAATCAATGGATATTTGTTGAATAACAACTGGACGTCCATATGCAAAAAAAAGGAAAAAGAAAAAACCTCAACCCTTACCTTTACCTTGCAGTACATACAAAAATTAATTCTAAATGGGCCACAGACCTAAACACAACAGCTAAAAATACATAAAATTCCTTGAAGAGAACATAGGAAAAAATCTTCACGATTTACTCGGAGATAGAAATAAATGATTTAATTCTCAGGACACAAAAAGTATGACACACAAAGAAAAAATTGGATAAATTGGACTTATGAAAATTTTAAATGTCTGCTATTTGAAAGACACTGTTAAAAAAACAAAGACAAGCCACAGCCTGAAAGAAATATTTGTGAAACATGTACCTGATAAAGAACTTATAGTCAGAATATATAAAGAACTCTTAAAACAACCCAAACAACCCAATAAAAAAATGGACAAAAGATTGTTAACACTTCACCAAAGATATATGGAAGGCAAATAAAAACATGAAAAGATGTTCAACATCATTAGTTATTAGGGAAATGCAAATGAAAACCACAATGAGATACCACTACACATCTATCAGAATGGGTTTAAAAAAAAAAACAAACAAACAAGCAAGTGCTTACAAGAATGTAAAGGCTCTGGAACTTTCATCCATTGCTGACAGGAAAGCAAAATGGTACAGACACTTTGTAAAAGTTTGACAGTTTCTTACGAAGTTAAACATACACTTACCATATGACCAGCAATCCCACTCCTAGGTATTTACCCAAAAGAAACAAAAAAGACCTGTATGCAAATGTTCCTAGGGACTTTATTCTTAGTAGAAAAAACTGGAAACCACTCAAATATCCCTCAACTAATAAACAGATAAACAAATTTGGAATACTATGGAATATTATTCAGCAATAAAAATGGAATGAACTATGGATATATGTGTGACAACTGGATGAATCTCAAAAGTATTATGCTAAGTGAAAAAAAAAAGCTACATTTTGTAATGATTCCATCTATAATGTTCCAGAAAAGATAAAAACTACAGGGGCAGAAAACAGATCAGTGGCTACCAGGAACTGGGAGGTGGATCAAGAGTCAACTGCAAGGGGCACAGGTAACTTTTTTGTGGAGAAGGAAATGTTAAAATGGAAATAGCCTTCATCTTGGTTGTGGTGGTGATTACACAACTGTATAAACCTAACTGACTGCCACTGAGTCGATTTTGACTCATAGCGACTCTACTAATTTGTCAAAACTCACCAAGCTATACACTTAAAAGGTGAATATAATTTTAGGCAAATTATACCTTAATAAACCTAACTTAAAACATCTGTTGAATGCATTATCTCCAGCACATTGCCAAATGCCCACATGATCAACTTTTCACACTGATACCCCACGCTTTCAAATTCAACACATCTAAAATTAAACTCAATACCTTCTTCTTTGCCTGTAAGCCCCCCTCCCCCAATCTCTAACCAACTATCCCTCCTAACTTCACTATTTCAGTCAACAGCACCAACACTGTCACCCTGGAGTCCACGGATGCCTGTCCTTCTTCCTGGTCCCCAAGACTTGAATTCTGCTTCTATAACAACGGTACTATTGGTCCCCTCCTTTTCATTCTCACTTAATGACCACCAACTTAAATTTTCATTACCACATCCCTAGATGTTAAGTAGCCTCCAAAATGATCTTGTCTTTCCTACACTTTCCCTCTGCTCTAAACAATCCTACATATATATGAAAATTGAACTATTTTTCCCTAACATTCTTCTCTTCTAAAAAATGCTCAAAGACTCCCTCAATGAATCACGAAATATGACCAGTGCACTATTCACTATGCTTTGAATACTTCATCAGCATTGTCTCGCCCCAAAATGGTCTCTTCTATTTGGTTTTATTCAAGTCCCATTCCTTCCAATAAGCCTTCCTTTAGCATTCAGCCCACAATTCCACCTTCAAATTTCTATAAACCTTATTGCAGGTACCAGTACCCTTTCACCTTTATGTTTTGTTTCCCCACCACACCATCAGTTCCTTTAGGAGAAAGATTCTGAAACACTACCTTTCCATTCTCTCAAAAACATCTCACAACAGAATTGGTTGATACCGATTAGCAAAAGGAATTAGGAAATGAGCCCAAATTGGAGGAAACTACCCATATTCCTAAAATTCTGACAAGCAAAAATCTTCCCCTTCAGTGTCAAGAGATTCATATAACTTTGTAGAGACACAAGGAGGACACTTCAAGATTAACACTGTGATATTCTACACATAGTGGGTCTACAATAACCCATTACATTACCTTTGATTAAAAAACCTGTTTCTTGTTAAGAGCTCAAAATATGTTTAGAATCTGATGCATAAACCAAGGTAGAATAGACAAGAAGTATGCTTAAGGAAGATTAAAAGCAAACTATTCCCTTGACTCTTAGCACTTCATCAAATTCAGACTGTAAGCTTCTTGAAGGCAGAGAACGTATCTTTCTAAAAGAAAAACAAACAACTGCTCTGCATTTCCCCAAAACAATACTTGAAGTACAGCAGGGATTTGTTGCTAATGGCTGAAAGGCAGAAATCAAGGCTAGCAGTGCTTAAGGTAGAGCAAGAGGCCACAGCAGTAGATAATTACAAATTTCAAAAATGGGAAAGCCCCATCTTCCTCTGTGCTCAAAGGGGCTGTAGCATAGTCATAGTTCTCTTACCTAGTCTTCTCTCCTTCCACTGTCTTTCTGATAGAACTCCAGCAGTTGCTGTCTTAAAAGAAATTTTACAGCACCAAATATCACAAGAAGCTAGACTCAGGGAGTTTATGGAGTTTAGATACACTCCAATATGCTCCTTTGTGAATCAAATAGCTTTGGTGTAGACTGTAAAAGGAATGGACTTGCGATCAGGACCCAGGTTTGAAATGCTGGCTCTATTCTACACATAGTACCTGTGTCACATTGGACAGTATAACCACCATTTCCTGATCTTTAAAATGAGAATAGCACATACTTTGCTAAGTTTTGAGAGGATAATATGTGAATGCATGTGAAAATATTCTAGAATAGTGCCTAGTACATACTAGTTGTTCAAAAATGTTAAACAACCTCGATTTTATCTTTATATTCACCCACTACTTGGCCTTCTACCAAGTACATTTTTAAGAGTTGAGATCTGTGTTATCTGAGCAGCCATTCAATGTATCCAACTTTTTAAAGAGTTGCTAATAAATACTTCTTCCTCTTTATCTGTGGCATTAATTGGGGTTTTTAACAAGTGAAACGTGAGAGAGTAATAGACTATGGACAAATGAGTAGGTTTTGTTTAAAGAATGTTGTATTTTTTAGCTTTTCTAATCACAAAGATCAAATTAACCATTTACCTTCATCATCATCATCTCTTTCTTTCTCTTCCAATGCTTGTCTTTCCAATTGTCTTGCTACCTCCTCAACTGAAGCTCCTGATTCTTTATCAGTTTCTTGCCCTGTTAATCAAATACAATACCGTAAGTCAAATCTAATAGATATTTTCTCACTAGAATATGTTGTAAGCATCCTAGAAAACATATAAAAAAACGTCTTTTTCTGATAAGTGTTCTGGAAACAAAAATAGCAACATTATTGTGAGCACATACACAAAAAACTAAATCCATTGCCATTGAGTCAATTCTGACACGTGGCAACCTCATGTGTTACCGACTAGTACAGAGGTCCATAGGGTTTTCTTGGCTGTAATCTCAGAAGCTGATCACCAGGTCTTTCATTCACAGCTCTGCTGGGTGGGTTCAAACTGCCAACCTTTTGGTTAAAAGTCAAGAGCAAACCATTTGTGCCAACCAGGGATCATAACAGAATTTGTTTAAAGACAGAAAAAAAGTCTTTCATCCCTAAGTAGTATTGTCCATTCATTAATTCATTCAACAAAATATCCATTACATATCCTATGTGCTATCAGCTGCAGGATAAACAAAAGTGTGGAAGTAGTCCTTATCCTTAGGTAGTTTAAATTTTTAAAATACTTCAACAATTAGACTAAACCAAATAGTTTAATTACCAGAGAAGTACTTAAGATAGGCAAGTTCAGCTAAAGGCCCTAGTAAGAATAGGATTCATGTATGACAGCCAGGAGCTTCAAGGCTTCAGCTATCAACAAGGGTCAGTAATATCGAAACAGGAAAAGATATTCCATTACTGGAGCCCTGGTGGTAAGGTAGTTAAGAGCTCAGCTGCTAATCAGAAGGTCAGCAGTTTGAATCCACCAGCTGCTCCTTGCAAACCATATGGGGGAGTTCCACTATGTCCTTTAGGGTTGCTATGAGTTGAAGTCAACTCGATCGTAATGGGTTATTTCATTATTAAAAAAACAAAATTCTCAAACATCTAAACATAAGACCAGGTCCCTGTCCTAGAAGTGATTACCATCTAGCTGTAGAAACAATATGCGTGTGTAGCTAACACCAGGTAGCACATTAAAAAATGACATTCTGGCTACTGTAGAGAATTCATATTGAGATACAACTGTTAAAATATATTACGGCCAGTAAAGGAGTCTGGAGAAACCCCGAGAGTATGGCCCCCAGACACCCTTTTAGCTCAGTGGTGAAGTTGTCTCCGAGGTTCAACGTTCAGCCTGGGAGTGGACAGCCCCGTAAAACCAAATGGGACTAATCAGGTACAACAGTCCAGTGACAAGCGCCAGAAGGCAGAAGGGGACAAGGAAGCTGGTGATAGGGAACCCAAGGTTGAGTAAGGATATTGTTGATGTGTTGTGAGATTGTTAACCATTGTCATAGGGCAACATTTGTAGTAGCTGTTAAATGAGAAACTATTTTGTTCTGTAAGCCTTCATCTTAAGTGAGAATAGCAGCACAATTGGAAGAGCGTAGTCAATGTCACTGAACAGTGCATGTAGAAATTTTTGAAATGGTGTATCTTTGGCTATGTGTATTTTCACCAAGAAAAAAAGGTTGAGAAGTTAAGAGGTTGACATGTTGTGGGGTTATTAACCAAAGTCATAAAACAGTATGTGTACTACTGTTTCATGAGAAACTACTTGTTCTGTAATCCTTCACCTTAAGTACTATATATATATATATATATATACACACACACACACGCATACACATTAGGGCCAGACTAGTGAAGACATTAAAGGGCAAACTGAAGAGTTTGGATTTCATCCGAAAGCCAGGGACAGCCAACAAACTATGTCCTAGAGTTAAATTCTACTCTGGAATGGTCCCAGCAACACTACAACTCTACCTCCTCCACTCCCACCCACCCTAATCCAGTTCAGAGTACAGCAGGCTAATCATCTAATCAAAACTTCTGAAAAATGTAGATTAGCCTCTCCAACATCTCTCAACTCCACATTCATCACTCTGGGCCTCTCTTTATTTCCCTCTTTTCTCTGGCTGATTTTAATTAGAAACCAGTAAAAATATTTTTTTTCTAAAATGAAGGACCCCGTGCAAAAAAAACCACTGACTTATCAAAATAAAAACATTTGTAAAGTTCCTAGCTCAGAATATAATCCAACTTGACTTTCAGCTGTGTTTTCCTTGCCTTACCAGTGGATTTAGAAGTTGCAGGCCCGAGACGTTCCACTCCGAGACACAGACTATCCTCCCTTGACTGCTCCCTAAACCGCCAAGTGTCATCATAATTCAGGCCTAAGGCCTTAAGGCTTGACAATGCTGTGGTATTAGGCAGGTGAAAATTCGCACCACCACCACCACATATTCGGCAATTACTACTCAGTGACAAGAACACACACGCGCGCGCGCACACACACACCCCAAAAGTGCAGCCAGCAACAAAATCTCTCAGTGACCTGGGATGGTGTGGAGAGGTACAGTCAAGGCACTAAGACTTGCCCACCCCACCCCCATCCCTGACGAAAATACATTCCAGGTTTCTCCAGCAAAGAGGCAGGTCAGAACCGGATTTTTGAGGAGGCTGCCAAACCACGAAAAAGGTAGTAAGGCTGAGGCCCGGTGCAAGGTTTCAAGTTCGTGCAGCTGAGTCCTGGCAATTTAGGGGCTCGGGCCCAGAGACCCCAGAGCCACCACACGGAAAGCTGAGGCACCCTTTTCTCCCCCACTGCACCCCCTCATCCCCCGCCCTCTAGTCCCACCAGAGATGCTGCCTTTATCCAAAAGTGAAAAGCAGCAGCCCGTGCCTTGCCACCCGCTCAGACTCGGAAATCAGCCCAGCCCTGGGCTCCGGGTCCCCGGTCCCTGACACCCGAGCCGGGCCTATGCCGTTCGGACATCCATAGCAGGGACCGGGAAAACATAAAACCCTTTACCTGCAGCAGCCCCTTTACTCTTCTTCTTCTTCCGTCTTTTCTTCTTGGCTGCCTCCTCATTCGTAGAGGCAGCTCCCTCCTCCCTGTCGTCCGGGTCCAAGTCGCCATTCAGGTGGCTCCCGAAGCTCGCTGCCTCCGCCACGCCCGCCATGTTGCCCGAGAGAGCGCGAAGGAGCGACACGGAGCAGCGAAAGCCCGCTCCTTCGTCACCCACTTAAACCAACGATTCCGGAAGCTGCTGTCGATGGTAGGGGCGCAGGGAATGCTGGGAAAGTGGAGGACTCGGTGGCTGGGACAGTTCGTGAGTAGGTTCTGGTTCCTCTTGTAGCGGACACGGCAGCGGCAGTGATTAGTGTGGGTTGCCGGCAGTTCTGGTATCGGTTGGCTGGCACTAGACCGGACACCCACCTTGCCCCGCGCCTCGGGCATCTCCGGGGCAAATCGGCCGCGTGGGGTCAAGTTGAAAGGGAATCTTAGCTCCAGAGTGAGCTGGAGATGGATGTACTCGCCCCGTGGAGAGGCGAAACCCGCAAGAGGGAGGGAGGAACTCTGCTGGTACTGAAAAGTTTTATGTTCGCGCTTTATAAAGTGCACACGAAGCGGGAGGGAGGCAAAAAGTGTGTTAGCTTGTACACACTCCTTTTTTTATGACTTCAAAAGACTGCGTTTATCGCCACAATCACAGCTCACGGTGAGGCATTCCAAGCTCTTTAGATAATTTTGGAAGCTGGAATTTCACGTTAGTTGCATGTACTCTAAACCCCTGACGGTTTCAGATGGGACTCCCTTACACTCCTCTGATATTCCAATTCATAACAAAAGTTGTTAGTTCAGATATTCAGGTTCTGTCCCTGAGGATTTAGGTCACGGGTCCTACAGCTATTATCTCCCTCCCAGTGTTCCTACTCTTTCTATGTTACGTTCAACCTTCCAGCCACAAACCGCAGCCACACACACAGAGCCTTTCCTATTAATGCTAAGCCTGACACTCCAATTTCTCATTTTCTCCTATCTTTCTTTTGGTTGTATGACGTGTTAACAGAATTTAATTTTGCCCATTCTTATTATTCCCCGCCCCCCATCCCCAATCCTTTATGAGAAAGCCCCATGTTCAAAGTGTGGTTTGAGATTTAGTCTGTGGCCTGGGAGATTTGTGATTAGCTGTCTGCACCAACGCCTTACAATCAAACTAGTTGCTTTCAAGTGGATACTGATCGTGAGTGTCAGAGTAGGACTGTGATCCAGAGGGTTTTCAATGGCTGATTTTTCAGAGGTAGATTGCCAGGCCTTTCTTCTGAGATGCCTTTGGGTGGACTAGATCCTCCAAGTGAGCAGGTTAAGCATTTGCACCACCCAGGGACTTCCTTCCACACCATCTCCTTAACTGCCCTCAATTTCTCCTGAGTACTTCATCTACCTAGAAATTCTAGGTGTTTTCCTTACTTTTAAACTAAGGATCAAGCTTCATGGACATCAAAATGTCTTTAAAGGCCTTCTTGACAGTGGTTGTACAGTAAATCTTACATAGGCTCTGACCCCAGCAGCATAAGCAAGTTATCTGTCTCTTAAAGGTTCAGGCAATGCCTCCCGGTTATACTAAAAACTACTTCTTTCATTCCTTTACTTATCTATTTCTCTAAATATACATGTATATAGATTTTAAATTGCTTTCTCTGGTTAATATGCTGACAACGTAACTATTGATAAACCACAATACCAAGAAAATCAAAGTAACTGCCATTACAAATGCCTAGTCTCATTCTCTTTTTTGCTCTAGCTCTCGAAATTCTTTTTGACCTTGGAGCAGTTCACACTTTGTTTCTTCTGTCCAGTCTGCTCCTTGCCTGGCTAATGCATTCACTAATCCATCCATCCATCCATCCATCCATTGAATGTTTAGTATGTTGCCTGAGTCTGGCAATAGATTCGAGAGCAGAATCAGGTATGGCCTTTGTCATCATGGAGTCTGTTAACAAAAATTGACATTAATCAATGAATGATGCTAATAAAGGTAAATTTATAACTGGTGATATGAGAGCATATTATAAAGGGATTTGCCTAGAAAGGAGGACCCAATCTTCCCTGACTAAGTGGCAATTAGGCTGAGATCTGAAGGATGAGTAGGCAAAGGATAGAGCATTCTTAGCAGAGGGAACAGTAAGGATTCATTGTATGTAAAAGAAGAGACCTGGTTTCTAGTATTAGAGTGGTTATTTTGCTATGACTTTGTGTCTCTAGATAACTCACACTGTCTTTTTTGAGCCCCATTTTCCTCATCTGTAAAACAGGAGGAAGTATGATACACTTAAGGAACTGAAAACCAGTCAGAACTACTAAAATACAAAGAGGTGAAGGGGAAAATGAGTGTGAAGACATGAGCCTGGAAAGCTAAATACAGGCCTTGGGGGAAAGAGAAGGGAGGGAGGAAACCTTACAGGACCTTTTAGACATTTTTAAGAACTTTGTCTTTGTTCTAAAAGCAGTGGAGACCCCTTCAGTATTTTAATGGGTGAGGGGAAAGTTAATATCGTGAGATTTTCAGTTAACATGATCAGGTTTTGAAAAAATCACCATGGTTGCCGTGTGCAGAGTAGATTTGAGGGCAACCAAAGTGAATGTAGGGAGACCAACTTAGAGGCTAGTGCAGTCATCCAAACGAGAAGATAGTGGCTTCGATCAGAATCATGATGGATATGACCAGAAGTGAATAGATTTATGGGATATATAGGAATAAAATGGGCAAGACTTGGGGATGAATTATATAAAGGGGGTTGAGAGAAAAGGAAATATCAGGGAGGCCCCCTTATGTTTGTGCCTGTTAAACTGAAGGAATGATAATGTAAATTACAGAGATAGGAAAACACTCCCAGGTTTTAAAGGGAGGATCGTGAATTTGATATGAGACATGCTAGTTTGAGTTGTCTTGGGGCATCCAAATGAATATGTCCAGAAGGCAGATGACTGTAAGGGACTGGCGCTCAGAAGAAAAGTTTGGGCAGAGGATAAAAATTTGAGTTATCAACTTATGCGTGGGAATTGGACGTTTGACAGAGATAAGATCGCCTAACAAGTGGATGTAGACTGGCGAGTCCATATGGTGAATTGGACAGTAATCACATATGACCACTGATTACTTAAAATGTGGCTAGTCCAAATTGAAATGTAAGTGTAAAATACATACCAGATTACAAAGACTTAGTATGGAAAAAAAAATGTAAAATATCTCAATAATTTTACATTGATTACATGTTGAAATGATAATTTTTTAAATATACTGGGATAAATAAATATATTATTAAAATTAATTGTGCCTATTTCTTTTTACTTTAAAATTTTTGAAATTAGGAGTAGCTCACATTATATTTCTATTTGGCAATGTAAGTTTGGAGTATGAAGAGAAGAGGACCTGGGACTAAGCCTTGGGGAACTTTAACGTTTAAAGGATGGGTTGAGGAGGATGAACTTGCAAAGGGGACTGAAGAGGCAGCCAGAGAGGGAGGAAGAGATCAGGAGGCATTCGTTAGAGAAGCCAAGGTAAGACAGTGTCTCAAGAAGGAAGGGGTGATTAACTGTGTTGAGTGCTGCTAAGAGGCCACATAAGAGGGCTGAAAATGTCAGAGGTAGTAGCATGGAAGCCATTGGTGACCTTAGCAAGAACTATTTAGATAGAGAGATGGAAGCCAGACTAAAGAGGGTGGAGGAACGAGTAGGAGGCAAGGACATGAGGAATCTCCTCATCCTTCAAGTTTCAGCTTTCATGCCAAATCTTCAGAGAATTCTTCCTCGACTCTCTAAGTCAGCCCCCCCTGCCCCCGCGTTGAAATCTCTCATTGAATTCTAAACCTTTTTTTATGGTACTTACTGCAATTTGTAGTTAATTTATTTGTGTGATAATTTGTCTTAATGTCTGTCTTCTCAATAACCTTGATCTCCAAGAAATCAAGACCATGCATATTTTGTACTCTTATCGCCAGCCCCGACCTCAAGACCTAGGGCATAGTTGGAGCTTAATAAACATTCATTGTATAAACAGCACTTAATAAGTGCTATCTACTATGCTAAGTGCTTCACATTATCTTATTTAATCCACTTTTGAGTTGTGGAAATTAGATTTAGAGAGGTTAAGTACAAGAGTCCCTAGGTGGTGTAAAATGGTAAATGCACTTGACTGCTAACTGAAAGGTTGGAGGTTCAAGTCCGCCCATAGGCACCTCAGAAGAAAGGCCTTGCAGTCTACTTCCAAAAAGTCATCCATTGAAAACCTTACGGATCACAGTTCTACTCTGACACACATGAAGTCGTCATGATTGGAATCATCTCCAGGGCAACTGGTGGTGGTGGTGGGAGATAACTTAGCCCAGGCCATACAGAAAGTAAATACCAGAGTTAGAATTATCTGACACCGAAAGTTTAATAACTCTGCATTCTGCCTTCCCAGTTGAAATTTCAATTCAATTCAGTAAATATTGATTGATTGCAGACTAGGGGGAAGTAATTTTGCTTGGTGGAAGATACAAAAGGGAATAAGACAAATCTGTACCCTCAAGAAAGTTTAGCATGTAAATAAATAAGAATAAAATGCCAAAATGCAATGATAAAATACGGTTTATTTGCCCTATATAGAGATTGTACCCTACCTCCTCCTCTTTTTTCCTAAAAAGAGAAAAGAAAATTTTAGAGTGGTAGTAGAAAACAGTACTGTACATATTTCAATAGTACGCCAATGGGGATTATGCTTGGCGATTATTAGTCTTGGTGATTAGACTTAAAATAGTAGCATATGATAACACCCCCTTATTTTCATCTTTTTTAATGAATTTGTAAGTTAAGATTTTCAAAGAAGAGCTGCTCTTGTCATATGTCATATTCTTCATTTGGTTTTCTCTACAAGAGGAAATTGAATGGGGGTACAGGAATAAGAAATGTTGAAAACCTAACCAAGAATCTAAGAGGATGATCTATAATAACAAATGTAACTCAATACTAGCTCAGACTAGAATACTATTTCTAGCTAATTACTTGAAGTCATTGTTGGCTCCAAAATGGTTAACTAGATAAGCAGAGGGAAAAGAAGTTTTTTTATTTCTTAGGGAGATACTTTTTCTATTATAAAGGTAATATATTCTATTAAGATATTTATTATTTGGTCAAAAAGTAGTATTACTGAGAAAAATTTTATTCCAAAATGCGCATCATAATTAGCCCTGCATTACTTACTTTGCAGTTCATTGCTAGTGGTATGATTTTGGAAAGTCACTTAACCTTGCCAAATTTCAATT